CTGATATCATAGTTATTTAGTCTAGCACCTTACTTAGAATCAGTGAAAAGTTAAAAAAAAATCTTTATTACCTGCTCATAGTATGCAGCTTGCAACAAATACATTTTGCCAATTATTATTTACTTTATCATGTTTCTTGTATTTGCACATGGTGGGTGGGAGCAGGGCAGTAGGAACTGTACAAATATCTAACAACACAGAAGTGATGTGTCAACTCATCTTGGAAAGTTCTTTTGAAAATGTTATCATGTAGGTATTATTGGGCATCATTGTGTCATTCTTAAATGGCATTTTGATTTATTTTTTATATTAATCAAAGAGTCATATACAGAATCCTTTTCTATAAACTGCATGTGTAGTTATTTGCAGTTCATTATTTACACAAAATCAACTATAAAATACCTGAATATTTGGAACTCTAAATTTTGACTTAAATGTGACTTTTTTAAAGCTATAATTTCATATGTTATAGAAAAATTCACCTTAAGAAACATGTTTTTCTTTCTGAAATTAATAGAGCAATTTGTTTCAGATTTTATTGTGTGTGCAAGTTTGGAGAAAATTATTTTGTTAGTGATTCAAATACGATTTGTAGTTTTAATTATGTTTGTCACAGCTACTAAGTAACAACCAGGAGGATTTAATCGTATGAAAGAGCTCCCAGGAGATTTAGAAATGGTTCCTTCTTACTGCCTATTGCTTTTCTGCTTTGCAAACCAGATGTGTGTGTTTCTGGGTTCTTTGCAAGCAGGCACAAACATATGCAAGCACCTACGTGTTCTTAATATCCGTGGGGATAAATAATGGGAAACAAATTCTAATTGCACAACACATTTAACGTATTTCCTTTTTTCTCTTGGTATTAAAAAGCTATAAAATAATTTTCAATTTTGATGTACTCTTTCATTCTCTTTAGCACCTCCACAATTTACGGTAAGGCCCAAGGATCAAGTGGTGCTGGAAGAACACACTGTGGAATTTCCCTGTGAAGCGGAAGGCCGCCCATCTCCAGTCACCGTGTGGACAAAAGCAGGTATTGGCACATCTGCAAGTGATTGTGGGAAGAAGGAAATTCTTTCTTTTTTCGGAGACTATAAAAATAATTTAAACTAATTTTCATAGGTATATCATGGGTGTGAAAACACCACACAGAAAGTAATCTTTGATTTAAATATGACACCATAATAATTTTTGTGATGTTTTAAGTTGCAGCATTTGAATGTATGGACTTCCTGGGATCATCCTCTCAGGGACTCAGCTTCCTGATTTTTAAAAGGAAATCACTGGAAAGTTCAGCAGTTTTAAATATTTTAAAAAAGTGGCAGAATCCTCTTTTAGTTCAAAATTAAATTGTAAGTGAAATGAAATCATAAATGAAGCTCAACATTTTAAACATAAACGAAGCTCTCAAAAGAGCTGCTGTTTTTGACATGTGGGTGGATGGGGTGTGTGGCCTGGCAGGAGTGTCCCCTATCCCCAACCAGAGGAACCAGGACACTTCCAGGGAGCCAGGAGACGTTGTAGAACAATGCTGGCAATCTGGTGGATGAGAGCTTGTCTAAGATTCTTCTGGGTTTGGACATTCTACCATTTTTAGTTCAGGTACTTGATTAAATTCAAAACAAGCTTACATTTGTGAATTTCTTTGACAATTTTTTGCCCTGTTTTTATGAGATTAGAGAAATGCACTATGTGGGTAGGAGGTGGACCTTGGAGCCCTGAGGCCAAGCTTCATGCTGCGGATTGATTGAGTTGTGTCCCCCAGAGTTCATACATTAAAGATTGATCCCCACTGTAACTGTTGAGGGTGGGAGATCCTATTATGGTAATTCAAGGGTGGGGCCTTGAAGAGGTGATTAGATTGTAGGACCATTCCATAGTGAATGGATTAAAAATGGTGGTCATGGGTGTGTTTCTGAGGGCTTTAAAAGGAGAGCATGTGAGAGTCTCTCTCTGCTCAGCCATTTCAACAATGTAATACCCTGTGTTGCTAAAATCACCACCAAGGAATATCCTCACTGGATGTGTTCACTGGACTTTGGACTTCTCAAGCCTCAGAAACTGTAGGCAATAAATTTCATTTTCTTATGAATCACACAGTTCCAGGTATTTTGTTATAAGCAACAGAAACGGACCAATACAGTTCACGTCTCCACTCTTTCATGTACTAGTTTTGTGATCTTGGGGAAGTAAGTTAACTGCTGTTTACCAGAGTCCCCTTGTCTCTATGCCAAGGGTATTGATATTTCCTATATTATAGACTGGTTGTGGGGATTGATTTGAATGTGTTTATACTCAAACATTTAGAACAGTAGCTGGTACATTGTGTGCACTCTCAATAAAAGTTAGGTATTATTTTTTCCATCTGTAGCAAGACAGTCACGCACATAGTTTTACTGAAATGGTTGAGAATGGCAATCTCATTTAAGTTTTAGTAACCACGGAGAATAAAGTGTTAAGAAGGTTTTAGAGGCTCAGTAAGCTCAGAGGTGAGAAGTACAATGACGGCCTGGGGTCTGGGTGTGAGAATTATCAGCATGAATATCACCAAAACCCCATTTTCCATATGCTGCCTCAGCACTTTAAATGTTATATTCCAATATTGTTTTCATATTCCAAATATCGTATACTTGTGGTAAACACATATTAGGGAGGTGTGTTAAAATTGTATTTAGTAATCAGATTGTTTTTGCAATTTGTATTCTAATTGTGATGAATAAAACTGAGGGAAGTAAACTTGAAGGTGGGGAGTTTGTTAAGAGGCAGAGCTGGTCTCCTGGTGAGAGATGATAATTATTTGCAATACAGAGCCTGAGGCTGCAGGTCAGGTCAGTGGGGGCAGGCACGAGGGAACCCTCGAAGTGCACACCAATGCCAGGGATTTCCTAGAAGACTGTCTTAGCCTCTACCCAGGACAGTCATGCAGTCCTGAC